TTGCAGTGAATGTTAAACGCATTTAAGGCTAAAGTGTTGACTCAATCACACATTCAATCGTTCACTCATTCAATGCAATCGTATTTGTGATGCAATGCCAGAGAAGTCATACAAAAGTCATGGAAAACATGCTCATAAAGTACGAGAACTTACGTAATGTTACACTTATTTTCACGAACACTAACTTTGATTACATAACTATTATTGTTAACCAATGTTGGGTACTATTGAGTACTATTAGCCATCATATGCTTTATATCATATTTCATATATAATTTGATTCAATTTTGACTATAAATTGTAAGTTTTGCAAATATGTCTAATATGAATGCAAATATAGGGTTGTATGAGTTATAAAATATTTAAGTAATCATATTTTAGTGACCAAAATTAAGTTACAATGTCTGATATATTGTCATCAAAATAGCATTTCCATTGAATCTCATGTAGAAGTAATTGTTTGACACAAATAACAATATTGTTTCATCAATTGAGACAAAATCTATTTTTATCCAATCATTTCGACATTCATTTTCAAAAACAATTTACAAATTTTAATCCGATAAACAAATCAAATATAATAATACAAATAAACATCAAACGCAAAAAAATACTAAGAATTTAAATCAATTGTCAACTAATTAAAAATAAAGTGTTTTCCGAAAAAATACTAAAACATATAATTGTAGGCAAAAGAAGTGAATTAATAATCATTGATAACGAATTTTCAAATGCAATGAAATACATATTTATACAAGTAATTCAAATATAAATGTATTGTAAAGAGAAAAATACAATTAAATTTATATAGTGTTTGGTTTGACAAGTGATGGCAATTTTACTGTGCCTGCGAGTCAAGACCCCCCGGACTCTGATCCAGATTTTTAATCAACTGCTGCAACCAATTGCGGGTCGATTTGTCGTCTTTAAGACAATTGGCAAATGTGTTGTCTTTGAGCTGATCCGGAAGACACTGTCGCAGCGCTTCTCTGGCCCGTGGATTGTCCGACAATTGCAGTGAATGTTAAACGCATTTAAGGCTAAAGTGTTGACTCAATCACACATTCAATCGTTCACTCATTCAATGCAATCGTATTTGTGATGCAATGCCAGAGAAGTCATACAAAAGTCATGGAAAATATGCTCATAAAGTACGAGAACTTACGTAATGTTACACTCATTTTCACGAACACTGTCTAACTTTGATTACATAACTATTATTGTTAACCAATGTTGGGTACTATTGAGTACTATTAGCCATCATATGCTTTATATCAGATTTCAATATTTAAGTGATCATATTTTACCAAAATTAAGTTACAATGTCTGATAAATTTATATTGTCATCAAAATAGCATTTCCATTGAATCTCATGTAGAAGTAATTGTTTGACACAAATAACAATATATTGTTTCATCAATTGAGACAAAACCTATTTTTATCCAATCATTTCGACATTCATTTTCAAAAACAATTTACAAATTTTTAATCCGATAAACAAATCAAATATAATAATACAAATAAACATCAAAAAAGCACAAAAAATACTAAGAATTTGAATCAATTGTCAACTAATTAAAAATAAAGTGTTTTCCGAAAAAATACTAAAACATATAATTGTAGGCAAAAGAAGTGAATCAAGAGATGAAACAAAATTAATAATCATTGATATAACGAATTTAAAATGCAATGAAATACATATTTATACAAGTAATTCAAATATAAATGTATTGTAAAGAGAAAAATACAATTAAATTTATATAGTGTTTGGTTTGCAAGTGATGGCAATTTTACTGTGCCTGCGAGTCAAGACCACCCGGACTCTGATCCAGATTCTTAATCAACTGCTGCAACCAATTGCGGGTCGATTTGTCGTCTTTAAGACAATTGGCAAATGTGTTGTCTTTGAGCTGATCCGGAAGACACTGTCGCAGCGCTTCTCTGGCCCGTGGATTGTCCGACAGTCGGAGATAGCATCGGATGACATGTTTAAGGAGTCGAGCGGACTGTTCCTTAGCCAACGACAAAACCATTTTGCCTAAAATCATCGCCACGTGTGAGAAGCGGTCGTACGTCTGGCAGATATAGGAGAGGCCGGTCTCGTCCAATAGGATCTTCTGCAGTATAAATGTGGCCACAGTTTTGGACAATTCGGAACCGCTTTCCATAATACGAAGACAAAGCGGTATGATTTCGGTGGTGAGCAAAAAGTTGATCACTTGTTGTTCGTCAGTCTTGACGAGAGCGCCGATCACTCCAAGACTGGTGAGCCGTAAGTACTCGAAGGGACGCGTCTTCGACGAGGAGGTCGTGTGAAGGAATGGGTAGAGAAAGAGCGGGATATTGGCCGACAAGAAGGCGGTGCGGGTTTCCTGGTGTGAGGCCACGCACTGCAGTAACGCCAACGCATTGCACACCCGATTGGACTGATGGGCGGTCAGAGTCGGCGGGTTTATCGTGGGATACACTGTAATGATCTCTTGGAGGAGTGCGGCGATCGCCCCAAACGAGTGCCACAACATTGTGGCCAAATCGGGAACCACTTCACGCTTTTTGCTCAACTCTAACAACGCGTTCTCTCGGGTCTCGCCGTTCGACAACTCAATGATCCACTGATAGATCTTCTCGTGGTCTACGGCTTGCGAGGACTGCACACCAGTCGGCACTCCCGACGAGGCGTTCCCCCCAATGGCCGACAGGGTTTGCGTCGAAGACATCGCTATTACTATCGCAACAACTGATCCCCGATTGCCGGTCACGCGATACACATGTCTGTCGAGACACCGATTACTAGAGCTATAGAAATGTGTTATGAAATGAGTTTTACTTGAATTGCAATTCAAATGACAATTATTTTCGTCAAAGTATTCAATGAAACGACAATTCACTCCAATTTGTAGGGCTTTTGTGAACCATTCAGACGTAACGCATGCGCTCCACAACAGAGGGCGCACTCAATGCCATTCAAGCATTCACTCTGTGACAGACGGCCACAGTATTGGACATTCACGTCAATACCAATTACGGCATCATTTATACGCCGGGTCTTTGTCGCCGATTCTCTCATCCATACAAATACTATATATTTTTGTCCATTTATTCAATTTATTGTAAAATATTTGTTCACAATTTAGTTAAATTGATACTCATTTATATCTATTTTATTTGTTTTAATTGACAAGTTTAAAAGTTTTGCCAAGTTTAGCAACTAGGTCGAACTAACTGAATATAATCTTGACACAAGATTATTGTGTATAAATTGCAATTAACAGATGTTTGATTGTATGATTTTATGGTCTCGATATATACTATTGAGTTGGAAATACTGATTTAAAATCGTGTTTAGTTATACTGTCCAAAATGAACAAGTTCCATTTGATAAAAATAATTAAAAGTTCTCATAACTAGTGATTATCAGTGAATCACACATTATTTCACATTTTCATTTGCTTTTCGCTATACATCTTATGGAAAAATGAGTGTAAAAAGTTTGAATCATTGAATTGGTTTGAATATAATTAACTGCAAACTTATTAAAAAGTTTTTTATAATAAACTACTCAAATGAGTGAATGTATTGACACAGCATTTGTTGTAACCAATATTGACACCAATAAGGTCTCTATGATTAACGTAATAGAAACTTGCGATCAAAACTATTACGCTAAACGTCGAAAGATGTTAACTGTTATCGGTTCCGAAACTATCGCAAACACCAGCAAAACACGTTCAATGCATGAATTCCGGTGCCGGAAGTATTGGTCCATTGCATTTGTTTACAATTTACTGCATTTTACATGTTTTGCTAAAAGACCAGGTGGTGGTCGGTATGTGTAAGTTGGTCGATGGCTCCAATAACTGGGCATTTGCACCAAATTGTGTCCACAAGTTTGGTATATTCTATCAATTGGTTGAGAGTCCGGCCAACAGGTCGTCGATAAACCCGAATGGAAATCATTATTTCCATTATAGTAATCGACGGAATCGACCGAATGTCCAGTTATTCTACTTATGAGAAGACCCACACAATTAGTTACTCCACCGATAGTCTACATTTTAGACCTCTATTGAAACAATGATAGCGACATTTGGAAAAGCACCATGCTTATTCTTAGCTGTCATTATTAAATTAACCATTTCATTGGTTCAGCGCTAAAGACTACACCTCAACCCTATTCGGTACTACCGTTGCTTCCGATGTATTTCATTGTCCGAGCGATCCATTGGGCTAAATATCTCGTATCTTAGATACGTTTACCCCGAGTGCGGGGGTGCTATAGGGGTAGCCAAGAATGTGTGTGTTGTATATGTGCACTGATAGTGATGTCAGATCCTCTATTGATAAATCTATCGACGCCAGTGGTTGGGGGCGCCCACACGCCTGCGCACCGACTTAACAGTAACTGACGCTCGGCTAACACTCCCATAGGGTTTACATGAATGCCAAAATGACATGCAATTTGAGTCGTAAGGGTGTATACGGCTATACATACACACGACGGCAACCAGGGGTGCGCTACCAATGGTCGCCCCCGACTCTCAGCTATATTGTTGAGCTGTAAAACGTCGGGTTTGGCTAAACTCGTGGCCGGAATGGATGGCCAGGGAGTAGAGGAGGGGAAGTGTGTAATGGTATGGCATTTATGGTTTAGAGAACCGGTTTATGGTTTACTGGGAAGTGAAGGGCAGGTATGGCTAATCGGGCACACATTTGGGGGGCAGTCGTCTCGCTCTATGCGCTCAGCGCTGGGCTCTCTCGCAGAGTGTGAGCGCCTGTGAGTGAGAGGGAGAGCGTTGAGCGCACCGTCAGGTCATGTGCTGTGCTGTTGGGGGCAGTGATAGAGAGCATACAGAGAGGCATAGGGGGAGCGGTGATCGCCTTATGAGCGCCTGTACTGTAATATCCGCGCATTCATTGCATTGACTGGTGTTTAGTCTGTGAGGCACTACTCGTTGTACCCAAACATCCATCCATTTTGACGCCAAACTAATTTCCACACCATTTGTCACCATTTGGTTGCCATTTGGGTCCACTCAACCACACCTGTCCTCTACACTGTCCGCACCCCCGACCCCAACCTCACTGACCGCTCGCACACGTGGTGTCCACTCACCCGACGGTCACCACATTGTGTGACCACAACTTCGGGTCATTTGACTATTGAATGCATGTTTTGTGCGGACATTAACCCAAAACTATAGTACCGTTTCGTTAATGTATTGCTGAGTCGACCCGTTATACACGCAAACAGTTGTCACCGCTTCTAAGCCGTCAATTGTGACCATCGATGAGACAATGGATCAAAAGATCGGTAAATATTTTTGCATATTTTGCGATTTGTGCACTGATTTCGAGACAATCAGTGAGGCTTACAATCACTACAAACAACACATGAAATGCGATTACTATTGCGTTAATTGCGATAACAATCGGAAGTGTAATGAAAGCCACGACCAGAGCGTCGGTCTGTCGGACGACGAGTCGGGACTGATCTCGATGTGGACCGAGAGGTTCCTCTCATATCAGAGCGAATTGATTGATAAGACGTATTCACAACTGTTCCGCACGTCTCGGCTCTTCACCGGATGCGCTGTCTGTCAGACATTCCTCAGGCTTTGCACTCAAAACAACATAAAGCACAGCAAAGGAGACATCCAGTGGTCTCACAACGAGGCCTTCAGTAATGAGACGAGACATGTGTGCAGTCATCTCCGGTACTATCCATTCGAGTGCCATAAGTGTGAGTCCGACGGCCGATACCACAAGAAGTGCGATATGTCTGAAATCACGCGACACATCCGCAACACTCACTCCTCATGTCTTAAGGACACAGACATCGATGCGTTGATCAAATCGGCGAAGATATCAAAATTGGAGAGTTTTATTCACTACTGTCTGGAGAATCGGAAACAACTGCAACCCATGACACCGACCGCACCGGTAGTGACGCCGACGCGAACGTCGAAACGCATATCGAGTCAAACGCCTAAAGCGGTGCCAACGGTGTCGCCAACCCTTTCGGCCTCCAAACCAAAAAAGGCCAAAATAGACACTCAAACCATTGGAGCCAACAATCAAAACAACGGCAAATCAATTGACGCCAAGAATACGACAATTTGTAGTCCAAAAAGTGATGTCATTCTAAGTATAAGAAAACCCAAAAATACGAATAATTCGTTAAACAAATCGTTGAGTTTTACTCAAAACAAAATGATTTTCATTAATAACAGCAATAATAAGAGCAATGAAAACCAGAAAGTGATTCATTACGACAATTCTGTGCCCAAAACGGCCGCTAAAGTGGAAATCAAGTTTAAACCGATTGTGAAGACATATTCACACCAAACAAATCAAGCGCTCATGTCTTTGAAGACCAAACAAAATCTTATATCTGGGGATCAAATCATTATAAAGAAATCACAAGAAATATTGTCACCGAAAGGGATGAGTCTAATCAATAAGACGGCCAGTATTTTGGCCACAAAACCCACGGCACAGAAACCTATGGACACAAGTCTTAGTCAACAATTTTCCGATTTAATGGACTCATCGGAAGACAACGATTGCCTCCAAATTGACTTAAATTCAAACGATTTTCAAAACGAGATTAAAAATGTTCAGTATTTTTGTATCTTCTGTACCGAAAAGATGGCGACCAAAGACACGGCTTATGAACACATGCAAAGACATCTCGACTACTATCCCATCATATGTTTGACGTGCAATGAAGGACTCGTTGACTTGCATTCATTTATGAGACATCACAGGGAATCACATCCCGAGGCAGTGAAGGGCCGCTACAAGAAGAAGGAGTTGCCGGCCGTCGAGAAATGGATTTCTTCGTATCTCTACTCACAGACAACAATCATTCGCTCGTTTCCGCCGCGCGAGACGTGTCTGGTCTGCGACCGCATATTCACGCGCGCAGACATTATGGGCAATAAACCGCGTCGTTGTACTATCAACAGAAAGATTGATCACTTGTTTAGGTTTGTCTCACTTTGTGTCCCCATTTGATCCTATTATTAATCCATCACTTTTTCTGCAGACACTTATCGTATTTGCCGTACGAATGCATTTTGTGTAAACAGAGCGGAAGTGAGTTCTTTGTGGCTTATTTCGAGAGCAAAGCTCACAGTCATATCAAACTAAAACACCCGGAGATTGACGACAATGAGGGTCGGTGGCAGGTTTTCCAGAAAACCATTTCTATACCCAAATTGGATGAGTTTATCGACAATTATCTCTTACAATACGGTATATCAACTCAACAGGAAAGGCGTCCCATCAAAAAGTGTAATAAATATAATGGTCCGACCGATGCGACCGACACTGTTACGAGTCCTCCCAATGACAACACTTCGCTTGACTTTAATAACAGTTCTTTAAATTTAAATATGATTTTCTCCGATATAATGGATACGACGGCAAACACTCCTCAATGCGAACCCAAACTAATTGAAATCCAATCGCACAGCGAAGACAATAACGGTAACAATGATATTGATTTGAAGCCTATTGTCGAAGACATGAGTTTACACAAGAATAATGCCAACGATATTGTATCGAATGAATTGAATAATAATTCCAACGACAGTAATATCGTTGTGGACGTCCATCCGCAACAAATATTCGACAAAACAATGGCCGACGACTCCGACGAAGAGCTCTACTATTGTATATTCTGTACGGAAAAGAAGTACTTCTCAAAGATGGACGCGTATTCCCATTATGGCGCACATCTCGAATACTTACCCGTTATGTGTACGATATGCAGAAGGAATTTCCCAGATGTCGACCATTGCATGACTCACCACATGTCAGACCACTCAACGGAAGACAACATTCAGTACGAGATAACCGAAGACCACTCTTTGGTCAAATGGGTCAATGAGTTCCTGGACTCGCAGCTGTCGGCCAAGAAAGTGATGCCGTGTTCGTGCGGTTACAACTGTCCCGTTTGCACCAAATTGGTCTCAATTGAGTCGTTCGAGAGTCTACTGCCGTGCGCTCAACACAATGATGTCGTGTTCAGCGTTCACATCCATAAACATCTCAATTACTTTCCCTACGAATGCAATACTTGTAAGCGAAACGGCATTTCCGTTCGCGTACCTAATCTGGACGCTCAGGCCATGAAACACATGAAAGAGCACAACATAGAGAACGCGGCGATGTCTCAAGTGGTGAAGAACTTTCCCAAAACATTAGTCATTTCTCGTCTCGAGAAACTGATCGGCGATTGTGTTCATCGAAAACGAGTCAATGAGAAGAAGAATCGTCTCGATTCCAGTCAATTGAGTGCTCTGTCGCCCAACTGCTCGACCACTCTATCATTTATATCGTTAAAAAACGAGTCCTCGCTTTCCGCTGCACACAAAGTATGTTTTGTTTTGTATTAACCATTGTTTGTACTCATAATTAATGACATTGATTTGATTGACTCGATAGCGGACACAACACACACGTCTAGAAGGCGGACGAATTATTAATCTGCCGCCGAAACCCATTACCAACGATAAGCCAATGAATCGCGAAATGCCAGTCCTCGACGGACCCATGAATATTGACATGGAATCTGAAATAAACGGCACAAACATATCGACAGTTAATAATATTCGTTGCCATCAGTGCAGCAAATATTTCCCAAATAAAAAGTCCTTTAAAATACATCACAAACAATCACATCCCGGGAAACCCATCCTATGCTCGAAGACTGTCTGATTTTATACTAATTTAAAATTATTTCTAATTTGATATATAAATGATTTATTATTTTATTTACATATAAATATATAGCTATATATTTTGTATTTATTGATACAATTATTTGAATGAGTGTTTTTGTGTGTGATTACAACCGATTACATAATACATGCATCAAAATATCTAATTTGGAGTTTTACTATAATTTGGATTAAAACGCGTTCACAACTTGAATGCGTAAATAATTTTGATTTTAATGCTATGTTTTTATAATGGTTTTGACATTTCCTTCATTTTAATTATTTTTGTGTAATAATTAAATTTAATATTTATTATTAATAATTGAAACTAAAATTATATTCATTCATAAGTAATTGTTTGTATTTTAATAATTATTAATCTTAATGAAATTATTTAATAAAAGTATTACAATATCTGTAAAATAATTTATAAATTGATAGTAATTTGATTACAGAGTTGAGCCTTAGCTTTGCTATACTGTGATGAGCTGTAAAGGACGCTTTGGAGAACTGAAATGGCAAGATCAACGCATTTTGTACCAGCTCACTTAGATTGCTCATTTAAAAAACCTATATACAATATGCATTAAATTGTAATCATTAAACTACAAAACCATGCAATCCATTTGTCACAATGTGATGATGTGTGATGTACTTCCGAACACATGATCATCTGAAGATTTATTAGTTTTGCCATTTTGTGGTCCATAGGTTAATCCACTTTTGACAACATATTTAAAATAGTCATAGAGTATCGCCGGTAGAGCTAATCTGAAAAGTTGGATCATTGAATTCATTTATACGTTTTCTTCAATCATTGAAATGTTTTGCGCAAAACAAACATTTCTAAAAACTATAAACAACTTCTGAGAACTTTAAGATATAAAGCGAAGGCTTTGACAATAAAAACTTTTTAGTGAAAAATTGTGAATTCATTGTTAGAATGAATTGATTGACGACTTGTTATTTCAAATGAAAATGTTATGTATTGTCGCAAACATTGTCTTAAGGCTGAGGCGTTTGAGACTGTCATACAGTGTCACCAGAATTTCAATACTTTTAATGCATTTTATGGTTAATGTATTTCATTAAATTTGTTTGAAAATATAAATAGTTCTCAATCGGAATTACTAAAATACCTTATTTTATCACTAGTAAATATACAATTTATAAATTTGCATGCAAATTAATAGTCATTACAAATAAATCAACATACTGTATATGCAGATTGTTTGCTAATTCAAAATCAAAACAATATAGTATACATGTATATATTTTAACAAATAATTTATTTTAAAAATCTACCAAAAACATTACTTAGAATTTATTTGTTTAATTAATAAATTCTTAGAATTTTAAGTTAAAAGTGATATTTCGATCCCTTGTGTGAAGATTGCATTTAAGAGTAAAATCACTGCATTTTTTATAAGTGTCAAAATTATCGCTGTTTTCATTAAAACTTTCGCACATAATCTTAATTACACTTATTATCGGGTTTTATGGACAATGTTTTATATGAAAAATATTATGAATCAATCCTTAAATTTCTAATTCATAGCATAGACTTTATTTTTAAAACTTTTAAAGTAATATACACTATAAATTACAATGATAACAATTTCAATATTAATTTATAATTTATACTAAATTTAATTCTGGCAAAAATTTAATAAATATTGATTATTCCCAGAGTGTTCATAAAAACCAAGATTATATGTAATAACAAAACAGAATTTCTGGTTTATTTGTAATAAATTTTGTCTAAAAAATAGTTTTCAAAAAAGTATAAATATTTAACGGAAAAGAAGGCATCGATAAAAAAGTATTCATTTATTGTCTTGCGATTCAATAAAGTGTACCGAAAATGAAAGCGATTTGTTTGACAATTTTTGTGTGTTTAGTGATTGTATTGAACATAAATGGGGTTCAAATGCAATACAACGACGGCTATGACGGCTACTATAGACCGGGAAGAATCGGAGGTCGCATTCAGCCGCCCTTTGGGGGCCGACCCTCGTATGGAAGACCGCATTACGACAGAACTGAATACCGAAGACCTTCTTATTATCCGCCGTCTAATTACAGACGCTATGGAAATGAGTATTAATTATGTGAGTATTGATACTTGAAATGAAAAGTAAGATTGTTTTAAACTTTCACTGATTGGTATCATTTCTATTCAGACAAACAGCACGCGTTCTGACCTTAATTTTAATGGTTTTCTCGGAATTATGTAAACATTTTTTAAAAACAAATAGTTTGCATTGTATTTGACTTTTTGACGGTTCATTAATTTTCAATAAGAATCAATATTTTACTTTTAAAATTGTATTTTGTTTAGTAAATGCCGTTATATTGTAATACCTATTATGGTATAATGAATAGCATTGATATAAAGAATCTTTATCTCAAGAATAAACGTTTATTTGTCATTAAATTAAAAGTATTAACTCATTTTTATTTGAATTTACGTTAACCTCGTTTACAAAAATTATTGTCCGGGAATTCCCACTCAACGAACCCATTCATTACGAGTGACAAAATGTACAGAATTGCTAAATATTAACACATTTATGTTAAATACTTGTTATTTTTCAAGAGTTTTGCAAATCTATAAAAATTCTTGTCATCTAAAGGACTAAAACATAATCTATTGTTTAAATTTGAATCATTTGAAAGTGTTTTATAACAAAAAAGTTACTTAAGATTTTTATTGTCACTCTTATCACAAATGTTGGGAACAAAAGTTGTGTCTTTAGTTGTTTTGCTCATAATTTTGATTTCAAATGTTGAATACATTGAATCGCAATATTACGGTGGCTATTATGGCGGACCCTATTTAGGCGCTGCCTATTACCGGCCCCGTCCTTATGGTTACGGCTATGGCTACCGTCCTTACGGTTACGGTTATCGATATGGCTATGGATACCGACCTTATGCTGTCGTCCGGCGCTATCATCATAGAAGACGACCGTTTTGTGTCGGCCTTTGTTTGGGCAAAAAGTAATATTCATTTATATTGTTGAACATTCTTTGGATCATTTATTGTATTCTTTATGGTATATGTTTTTATATTCAAATAATTTGCATTAAAATTATATAATCTTAATTCTACACATTTATAACAACCAATATTTTAATATTTTGTGTATTTTGTATTTGTATTTTGTGTTATATAAATTATATGTTTTGGTGAATAAATAGTTGTTATACAGTATTATGCTATTTTCATTACTGTAATGTCTTGACTTGTCGCAATTTTAACTCCCGATTTTATTCCCAAATTTGACTGTTTTATGCTCCCGATTCCCGCCCGAATTTGGGTGTTTTTATTCCCGAAAAATAGAGACTCTAATCATGTATATCCGCTAACTATCATGTATACAAGGACTAACAATTATCAAATGAACTAATACAGTATAAGTAGTAATAAAATTAAAACTTTTAAAATCCTAACCTATTAATCTCATTTATCACATATGATTTGATGTGAAAATTAATGTCGATAATAAATATAGTACTTTATATGCGTTCAATTATTACTGGTAAGCATTGATGTATTTATTAATTAATGAGTGTTTAATGAAATGATTTTGAATCAAAATTTTTGATATTATTATAGTTTGAAAAATGCTTTCAAAATTGTATGCATTGTTACTAACAATTGGTTAGAATGGGTTAATGAGAGGACTTCTCATATTTGTTTGTCTCTAAATTCAATCATAGCTTTTGTATTGAATGATTCATTTGAATTGATTTAATTATGAATTCATTTAAGAAGCAAAAGACTGGACACCAAATAATAGATGGTTTCGGCGATCAATTCATTCGAAGAATTGGCTATTATTTGCCACTAAAAGATAAAATACTATTATTAGGAGTGAATCGACAGTTTAATAGATGTTTTTCTGAAAGTCAAAGAGATTTAGTAATTGATTACATGATTGGAAACCGATTCAATAGTTTGTATAAATTTGACGACAAAAATATCACAGAAGAGAAGGAATCGGACGACGACTCGGATTTATCTGAAGGATTGCTGTCGTCTATCAATATTAATAATGAATTGCTTGAATGGATACTCAAGAAGTTTAATGGCATCGAAACTTTGGATTTAAGCAATTGTTTAATTAAGAAAGAGACCATTGATTTGATTTGTGACATTCAAAGTCCAAACCTCGTGTCTCTGAAACTACCAAACTTTGGCGTCGATCACATGTTTGTCAAACGATTGGGACAAACATTTGGCAATCAATTATTGAAACTAAAAATTGGCATTAATTTGAACGATGAAATAAATTTAGACAAATTGCTATTTAATTATTGTCCAAATTTAACGCACGTTTTCTGCAAATCTCTTCAATCATTTGTAAAGCAAAATGATTTGTTTTTATCAAATTTGAAAACCGTTTCAACAATTCTTGACAAAACTCAAGATTTGGAAACATTGAAGATATTTGTCAACAAATATAAGAATCAGATGAAGAATATGTCAGTATTTATGCAATTTAACGACACACAGGATTGCATACATGGACTTGAATTAATCTCTGGTTTGAATGCTTTAGAATCAATTCATTTGAATTTTTTCGATCCCAAAACCAATTTAATGCCAATCGATAACAGCATTAGAAATATAGCCTTAAATTGTCATAAAATTAATTCATTGGAATTGAGCTTTAATTATGGCTGCAATTCAATGATTTCGACCGAGTTTTTCAACATTTGTGGTCTTTTCCATAACATAACGAAATTCAAGTGTCAGCTATTGGTCACTGAAGACGAAAAAAGTGAAGCAAATAATAATATTGTCAAAAACGTGGAGAAGTTTGACATGAGTTGTCTAAAGAGTTGTAATCGTCTGATTTGTTTAGACCTCACATTCTCTGAAATGGACGACAGTTTTACAAAAGACATTCACATTTATTCTCCAAATTTAGTTTCAATTCATTTGAATTCGGGTAAAGAGTTGTCCGATTTAACACTCGAGTCGTTGAGTCAATTAAAACGATTAAAATGTTTGAAAATATCGAGAAATTATTTCAAAAAGGATTGGTTTCCGGCCGTCACTGACTCTGGAATTAAACAACTCTTTAGTAATTGTTTGTCCATTAGATGTGTTGTATTCCTCGGACTTCCAAACATAACACAAGAATCCATGGATTTATTGATAACATTGGCTCAAAATAATCCAAATAAAAGTTATCGCTTTGAATGTCTTTACAGAAACGATGACATTTGCGATGAGGAAATTATTAATAAGTTTGATGTAAACTCTTTGACATTACCTTCAAATTTGATGATCAAATTGGAATCACTTCACGATTACTGTTCCGAAGATGAAGACATTGATAGCGAAGACTCTTCTATGGAAACTCACTCGGATTTAGACAATGATTGAGACTTTTCGGATACAATTGAAATTAACTACTATTAACCAAATTAATTGAATTATTATTTTTCTAATACATATAATAATATAAATTGTTTTATTGTTTTGTTAATTTACACAATTTAATAGATTTTGTTAGAATTGATTATTTCCCAAAAAA